CAATCCTAAAATTTTGGAAGGAGACCAGTCGACAACATTCAGATAAAAATCATCCTGAACATAATGAATGATGACATATTAAATTAATAATATATAAAATCAATTACACACGATAATTAATATTACCTTAAGCATCAATTCGTTGCAAAATGTAAGCATCTGATATGGAGTTGGATTAATGACTCTCTCGGGCTTACGAGGGGTTGTCATTAATTCCTCAACCTCACGAGATAAGATAGTAGTTGAGTAAGCATTTCTAAAGGGTGTATCAAAGACACGGGAGTGTCGCAAAGAGGATTGAAATTTAAAAAGGTTCTTTCTAGTTGAAGACAATGATCTGATTTCGATATTTTCAATGTTATCACTGGACTTGTAATAAGGGAACATGATTCTTTGGACTATAGATCTATGCAGACGATCTTCCTCTATGAGATACGTGTTGTATATTACCATTTTAAAAAGGTCTGATAAGAAAACGCACACTGTATTTATAGCACTCACGTTTTTCTTTTCCACTCTCTAAGTCACCTCTTTTCCGTTTAGATGGATTTGATTCCAAAGATGGTGCAGGATGACTTTGAAATTCTGTTATCGTGTCACCAGTTCTAACAGGAATGAATCTACACGATAAAATGTAATTCTCTAAATGTTCATGTAATCAAAAAGGACATATGCTAGCATCTAATTACAATAGTGAGAGAATTTCCGAAAAAGTTAATCATCATACCTATCTCTATAAAAATGGGTCGTTCTATTTATGTTTGCAATATAATTTTCACTCGTTTCTTGCGCAAACGAGGTATTAGACGAATGACCACCGGAAGCAAGCAAAGAGTCAAGTTCTTCTGAAAGTTCGAATGAAGTTGAAGAAGCAGTGCTTTCATAAGTTTCACTAGCATTCTGAACGAAGTTGGAAGAAGAGAGGGAAATGAAATCTGAAGCTGGTTTATTTTCAATAAATGACATTGGGACGGTTGAAAATTGCGTAAATAATGGCCAGTGAGATTCAAAAGCGAAACGGATGTTATTTTTATATGAATCTCTATCCAACACTAGAAATTGACCGAGCCTATTTAGTGTAAGAATACACGGTTAACATCACAATATTTTCTCGATATGATTATGCGTGTGATATTCGGATATACTTTGCGAAACTTTTTTAAAATTTCTTCTTGTATAGATAAACTAAGAAGAAACTTCATTAGACTTTTTCACACCTTTTTATCTCATCAACATTATTATTATTATTAACCAGTGCAAGCAGGCAAAATCATATTATTTGGTTTTTTGTTTTTTTATTCAGATCATTTTCCTGCCCCGCGCAGGTTATCATTTCGAATTTACGTCAACTTTAGCGTTAAACACGCGAACGCGAAATGTTCACTGATAAAAATTAAAAAATATGCACATTATAATTTATTTTAAACTTTAAACTTTCTTAAACATGGTACACGTGTATATAATTTTTTTTTATCTTAAAATTAGATTTCATTGTTATCCTATTCAAATAATAATCTAATATTATATTAATTATTGATTTAATATTAAAAAAAATCAATTAAAAAGTAAAATAATAAAAATAATTTTTTTTATTCGATTTATGGATTATTCGTATTTATCAATGTTGATTTTTTAAAATAAAATAATTAATTACTGTATATCAAGTAAAAGATTTCATTATTTTATTAATTTAAATTTATTTGATGTTTATTTATTTTAATTTTATAAATAAATAATATTATTATTTTAATAAAAAATTTTTATATTATTGTTATTTTTGAATTTAAATTGTAATTAGGTTCCTAACAGTATTATTTTAATACCAAGTCAGTATTGAATTTATTATAAGTTTAATAAAGTAGATTATAACACATATAATATATTATTATAATTTTGTTATATTTTTATTTTTTGTAATTTAATTATTTTTTAATTAATATATTATATATTGTAAATATATATATTGTATATATATGGTATATATAATTAATATTAATAAAAAAAAATTCAGATAAAAATTAATTTATTTATTTGGCTTGTAATTTTCAATAAAATTTTTTCAACTTATATAAACTTGTCAAATAATTTATATTTATTTATTTATTTATATATTTTATAAATTTATTTAAATTTTTATATAAAAATATTGCAAAGTTAAAAATTGTAATATAATTATAATTTAATCTTAATCTTTAATAATATTAACAATATTATTAAGTAATATCTTTATAAAGTTAATAAAAATATTTTATTTAATTTAAAAAAAAAAATAATTAAAAAAAAATTGATATAAAAAAAAAACAAAAATTTTAATTTTAATTAAAAATAATAATTTATTTTATTAAAAAAAGTATGCTTTTATTATTTAAAGCAAAAAAAAATATTTTTTATATAAAAGTAATATAACTTTTGAATTTGACAAATTTGTATATATTTTTTTAAAATAATAATAAATTTATAATAATAAAATATATATCAAAAAATTTTAAAAACATTAATTAAAAAGATAAAAAAATAAAAACAAAATTATATACTTATATAGATATACAGTATTTTTTGGTAATTAATATTTTCAAATCAAAATTTTATTAAAAAAATATAACAGATATAAAAATTAAATATATTTAATAAAAAATTGAATTAACCAATAATTTAAAAAAAATCTTAATAAAAATAAAATAAAATTAATAAATTAATAAATAAATAAATATAAATATTTTATAGACTTGTACATTTGTACTAATTGTATTTTTTTTGATAATTATCCAATCATTTAATTAAAAAAAATTTTTTTAATAATATACAGTATACTATGTACTGTATATATATTTTAATTCAATGCAAATAAAAAAAAAATTCTAATAGTACATTTAAAATGAATAATAAAATTTTTTAAAATAAAGTAAGAAAAAATTACTTGATTTGATTCTTTTTTTTTTAAAAAAAGATACTGTATACTATATACTTAAATTTTTTATAAAAACGAAAAATACCGGTGTTGTTACACACAATATAAATTATGTTATAATAGCTTTTTTTTTTTTATAATTAAATTTATTAAAGTTTTACTTGACGATAGAACATTACACGGTAATCAGTATTTTATGTCACATTGCCTCGCTTTTTTTTTTTTTCTCCTAGAATCAAATTCATATTCATTTTTTGAGATGAACTAATAATCACTAATACCAAATAATTTATATTCAATTCTTCCTATTTGTAAATTGTTCTTGTGATACAAATTTATTAAAATTTTTTGGTATACTCATCTAATGCCTCAAAATTGTCCATTCCAGAAATACCAAATCGAAAATGAAAAAATCAAAAAAAAAAAATCCCTAGGATAATCTATTTCTACCAAATTAAATCGCTATTAACATGGATCACGCAATTGAAATGCTCAAGTCTAATCAACGGCTCAATAAATAACGGTATTGTTATTAGTATAATGGAATTCCATATTAGCCACTTTGCAACGTTCTTTACCGACTTGAGGACAATATTCTCCGTCACCCCAACGTTTTCGTCATCATCATTGTTATTTTGTGTTTCATCACTTATACTACCTCTTAGCTCACCACTAAAATTAATTGAACCAAAGATCGTTTCCCAGAGAACAAATATCACCCCGTGAACTATGAAAAACCAAAATTGTTCTTTTCCAAATGAACCATTAGCCGAACTCACAAATACTATATACTCATTTAATAGTCCGCTAAGTGCGAAAACACTCATCGTTCCCATGATATGTGCAGCCCAATGTTGTAACGTGTTTTTTGAACTTTTAACCTCTTCATACTCTTCAAAGTCATCTCTTCCGCCCACGAAACTACCAAGCATCAAAAATATTCCCAGAACATACTTGATTATCCCAACCACAACTCCTAGTATCCCGTCGACAAACGCCTTCACAGGGTAGTAAGCCATTTCTTTGAACAACTCATGAAAACTTTGATGCCATCTGTACGACCACAAATCTCTTGGATTCCTAGATAAATATGGAATCTCAAATAAATGCGGAGTATGAAATATTAAAGATATTAACCATTGTTTGATTGTCTTTATTCGTGGAGTGGTTAATCCCAGATTCGAGAGTAACAACAAGATGAATGATGTGTTCAAATTTTCACTTTCGTTCTCATCTTCTCCGATGTCTCTTACATTGTCACTAACCAACATTATCAATCTCAATATTAATCCTGAAGCTATTAAAAATGCGTCATAAATACATGACATACATAAATATAATGTCACTGCATAAACATAGCAGTACAACAGCTCAAATGGGGCGGTAATAGGTGATTTTCCGGTGGTGAAAAATCCAACTAATCTTGAGGAATAAGAGGTTGATGACAAATAAGGAACATAATTGATCAAGAATTTTATCAAAAGTCCGTGCCCGATCAACTTCATTAACCATATCAGAACACGTTTTTTAAGAAAAGTAAAAATTTGTTTTTTGGAAATCATCAACATTGGCTGCTGAGGTGATTCGTTCGAAACTTCTTGTAATTGATCTAGTTCTGGCGGGGGTGTTGGTAGTTGCACAAGCTGAATTGGAGATGGTTGATTTTGTGTAAAATTTGACTTCGCGAGTGGTGATAGTAGCGGTGATGAGCAACAATGTTGGTTTTTTGGTTTTAACGTGAATGTGTCTAATCCAGGATATTGACGCCAATAAAACAATGTCCTAATGAAAGGTGCCACTCTCTGAGAATCCAATTTTTCATGGTCAATCGACAATTTATCTTGTTGTGTATTCTGATCAATATTCTTCTTGGTATTTTTATAGTGATCTCTGATCCGCGCATTCTCTGAAATTTCGAGTGAAGATTGAATCACATCTGTTTGCCAACACTTCTTCAACCACATCAACATTTTCAACGACAAAATGGTCACCAGCAATCCAACCGATTCTTGATACTTGCATCCTACATCTTTTCTGAAAACCACGGGAATCATCAGAAAGATCACCACCAAAGTAAATAAGATCAGATATCTAATTGTCGAATAACTCGTCTTGAATATTTTCGGCAAAGTCGATGAACTATTCTCCAGAGGAGGTGGAAGTCTAATGGGCTTTATTATGGGATGATTAAATTTATTTAAATACGTGCTTGAAATAGGAGAGGATGAAGAATTTGTGTTGGAAGATGCGGTGTTCTTTGGATATTGAATATTTAATGCCGGAGGGTTCAACGTCAGACCGGCAAATGCGACCAAAAGCGTCACTAACAAAGCGAAATATCCCCATAGCGGTAACTCCGTGTAGCCAAATTTATCGACCAATCGCAAAGTCCAATCTCTTAA